CAATGCAAGGAAGACCCAGGCCAATGAGGGAGTTGCTCTGATGGACGTCAGTAGAGACCTAGACATTTGTAGAAGAAGACGACTCACGGCATCGGAAGGAGAGTTCTGGCAGCAGGCAATGTTCTGCTTGCACTTCTGGTTGACCAGATCCTGGATGGGAATCGCAATAATCGCGACTGGAATATGTTAGTATGGACGACCGGTCTTTGAGAGAAGGAGAAGTTTAACGCGCCCTGGAGGTCCAGCTTGGAGCACTGGTCGAAGAGACCGAGACCCTCGGAGCCAGATCCACCACCGATGAGGTTCTTGAGGGTACCAGCGAGGATACCCTCGTCGATGTCGGTGACATCACCGGCGTAGGTGGCCTTGTTGCAGCAAGAGAGCTGAGCCTGGTCACCGCACTTCTCGGTAGCCTGCTTAACGGTCATGTTGTCAGGAACGGGGAAGCGGACGTTGGCGTTGCCCTTGTTGCCAACACCGTTGCCAGCAGCATTAGCATCGTGCTGGGGAAGGGCGGCCACGGAGACGGCGAAAGCGAGTACAGCAGCGCTCAAAGAAAACTTCATTGTGACGGTGGGGTCTGAAAGGGAGTGTGAAGACTCGGAGTGAATTTGGTTTGAAAAAATGTGAGAAGATTGTACTTCGAAGGAAAGGCTTGTCAACGAGAGTGATAGTTGATGGAGAGGAAAGAGGATGGCCAGAGGTGAAGCGAAGGCATCTTTATATAGACTCAGGTGGAGGCAGCGAGCTCTCTGTTGATGCTAGGTCTACCCGCCCTTGATTGAGCTCTTTGTCATTGTAGCTATCCAGCTTGAGTCCCTGAGTGGAATGTGGTATGCAAGGAATCCATCGTGATTTGTCCCCTCAGGAGTCAGAACCGCGTTATCGCAATCTCACGGCCCTGGATTGAAGCTCTCTGTCCCAGCGGTTGGTATGGATCTGCAAAACATTCGATTGATCTGAACCAACAAGTCAGCCTCCAGCATACCACGCTCTCGTGAGCCACGCCTCGTTCAGGGGACGGTCGTGCTTCGACTGAGACCGCATAGTCCGCGTCTTCTGTCTCATTCCCCTGGTTCTATTACGTCGATCATTCATGCAAGCGGTAAACTCACCTGTGCCCGCTTGATCATTGGGTTGCATTGCCTGCTACGGAGCTATCGCAGCGTTACCGCATTCAAAACGACTTTCTTCTTGAGTCTCCTCCATATCACACGATTGGGGCCAATTCCTACGTCTTCAGCCATTCCATCAGTGGCGCATCCTGTATGACTCCACTCTCACTTGATACAGAGTGAGAACCTGCTGGCATAGCACGGGGAGTGCTAACCCTTAAGTGACCAGGGATTGGAGTATTCAAGGGCCAGTCGTTCGGTATGCTGCTGCCAATGGTCGCAACGTGCATGTTGCTGATTTAACCCAAGGTTGCAGAAGCTTCTCAGGGCCTGCAAAGCCTTGTTCTTGGTCTGCAAGGGACTGTCCATCTCGTTCAAATGATCGGTAGTGTATAATCACCGCAAGGGTTACGACGTAACTGACCCTGTCCCATGGCTCCAGCAGTCCAGCCTCATTCTATCTCGTCATAAACAATACTAAATTTTCCGAGTGTACTCGAGCCGGTTTTCTCTAGTGTTTCCTTTGGTGAGAGCTCCAGCCAGGCTCATGCTGGCAAGGGAAAGCTGGTTTCCTCCTTTGCTTTGTTCCTGGCAACGAACGAGGCAAGGGGCTGTCAATCGGAACTATGGAGCACGTAGATGGGTGCTTTTCCAGATGTGGTAAACCATCCTGTCTTCCCGAATGTAACTCGCTCCGTTCGCAGTTCCTCGTCGCTGAGTCGTGATGAAATCGACTTTGATTCTCTTTCCGTTTTCACTCTAGCTCACATGTTGCTGTCGGGGAAACTCGCCCTGCGCTCCACATTACTCGATTGAGGAGCTTTCAAAATAAATAATAAAGAGCCTCCTCGTGTTCGATGGATGACGAGCTGGTCGCATGGCCTGAGCATGAGTTGTAGTCATGTAGAGCAGGCATCTCGACTGTGTAGCCGTACTCCAGTCGTCGAAGAGGTCTCCAGAACAATATTCTCTATAATGATGATTATCTTGAGCAAAGACTATGCTTGATCATTGACATACTGCTTCTGCCCACGCTGCTGTCTCTATACAATGTCTCATCCCAAGATCCAGTATACATCGATATAGAGTATATGGGCACTACAAGAGCTACGATATGTTATTCCCTAATGCTGTTCTGAGCTTCGTTGGTCTATACAGAGCCGAGACGTGGAGTATCAAAATCATCTCAATCCATTACTGCCGAAACTAGTCCTCGACGAAGGTAGACTGGACCAGAAATATACTACAAAGCAATGAGCCATATATCCCACTGCAGAATGTTGTTATGGCAAAAAATCTTTCCTTGTGGCTATAGTATCAACTAGCTCCCTCCCACCATCACCTCGTCATAGACCGGCGCAAACTACCACTCGGCGTCGCTAACGTCTCAACGACCTCAGGATGTATTATCAATGTGATAGTCTCTTAGTATGATGCAATGACCTGTCCAAGTGTCTACAGTCGTGACTATCTAAGCGGTCACATTCCTGCCTCCTACTCTAATCGCTTCAATTATCCCTTGACGGAGACAGGTCCTAATAATTCCGAGAACTGGGCGAATAATCTTAACATCTGACTCAAAGTCTAGGAATTTCTAATGAGATTTACACTCAATGGAATGCTGAGGTTGAGATTCAAATTGCTGACTGCCCAGCTGTGATGACACAAACAAACACAACGAGTCACCTGCAATCTCCCATGTTGTCGCCGTCACTATCCAGTCCATTATTGCGAGCATAGGTTCTTCTGCAGATGGCTTCATCGGTCTGATGAAAGAGATCTAGCTTGCCACCTTTGACACGTTGGCCTTGACATAAGCTGGCAGGCTTCCAACGTCGAATTCGAAGTAGACCCTACTTTTCATTCCTTCGGCGAGCAAATCGGCGGGAAAATGAATTATAGTATTCTGGATGATAAGGGTCATTGGGAAGGAGAATAGCATTTATGTATGCATTTCAACCGCTGAGAGAGTCGACCATTGATTCCACACGAGTATACTAGGTAGTCAGAACAGTGGACTCCTTGCCTTGATGCCTCGATGCCTCAGGGTTTGAAGAAGTAGATGGATAGACTAGTCCCGATATGGTTAGCCTACGATGATATCGTCCGCTGCTGCGAGTCTGCGGTAATGCTCAAGTAATTCTGCTACGCCTCTCCGCATCTTTGTTGTCAAGCTTCTGGACGTACTCTTCAGCTGTTCAAGCAGTGCTAACTCCAAAATGTCTGCGAACCCCCGGTCTAGTCGTCTTGACCGTTCCCCCAGCACAGAGAAAGGCGCCACGGACAGCTTATCCGAGCTGCCCGTGGACAACCAAGAAGAATCGAAGACTCGCTCGCAGGACACACATGAGGAAAAACAACCAACACAGAACAAGGAGCAGGGAAATAATACATCACCAAGCGAAACGACAGATGCCGAAGAAAACATAACAGGCGCACATGATGATAAAGAAGATGCCAAAGAGGAGGACGCTTCTGCGCCACCATTACCAGACGAACCACTCCCACCGCCGCTACCCAACGAGGCTCCTCCCGATGAGGACGATGGCTGGGAGCCCGTCTGGGATGCAACCGCTCGAGCGTACTACTTCTACAACCGCTTCACGGGCGTTTCGCAATGGGAGAACCCACGGGTGCCGGAAGCCGCATCAGCATCAGCATCAGCACCAGCACCGGTGCCTCTCGCCGGCGCCGCGGAACGCGTGAAGGAGAAAGACCCCGTCGTAGGCGGCTACAACCCGGCGATCCATGGTGATTACGACCCCACGGCGCCCTACGCGCAGCAGCATGAGGAGCCCACCCTCGGGGGGGCTTCTGCGGCGGATCCCAGTGGCTCCTACGAGGCTGTTGGTGCTTTCAACAGGTTCACGGGCCGGTGGCAGGCTGCCTCTCTGACTCCGGAGAACTACAACGATGAGAATAAATCGCGGCGGCAGATGAATGCGTTCTTTGATGTGGATGCGGCTGCCAATGCCCATGACGGGCGGAGCCTCCGGGCGGAGCGCAGTGCTAGGAAACTCACCAAGAAGGAATTGAAGATGTTCAAGGAGAAGAGAAGAGAGAAGAAAGAGGAGAAGCGGAGGGCGTGGCTACGCGATTGATGCGAGGAATGGTATTGTTACTTTCGTACTACTGCTGCTAAACTTTTGAGATACCTTGAGATACCTTTTGATTCTGTGCATGGGGTTGGGGGCGTTTTGACAGATGTACTATATGGGATTGCATAGCATAGAAGCAGCGCGTTTTTTTCTCTTCTACAATGGCCTTCATGCCCACAAAATTCGTAGTCTTGCTAGTCTTGCACCGGCAGGTAGAGCCATCCTAGATTCCCCACAATTGGTCACGTGTTCGCGATATCGAAGTTTCTTTTTGCAACAATCAACGAGCATACAGAGGGGATATTGAGCAAACGCGGAAGTATATAAACCTTTCAAATAATCTCGGGTCTTAAGGTTAGTAAACTATACATTTTTGTCTGTTTGTGGTAGCCGTTCTGGGAGATCAACTTTTGCGAGTGCACCTTATCGATATATATCAAGCATCATGGAGGGGCATGACTGTATTCTCCAGATTGTACCTCTTCATGACAGAAGATGATCTCTGTTGATCAATATCCCATGATTTATGTCCAAGTTTCAATTGTGATTTATCCCCCATATTGTTCCTGCATGGTTTGTTGAAAAATTTTCTCATCCGGTTGCCATCGGTAGAATCGCATCATCCATGGGAAAAAGAAACTTATTGTCAATAACTAACCAAGTCACAGATACCAACTCACTGCATTGAAGACTGCCTCTGAAATCAGATAGAGCATTAGCCACATTCGGAAGCATTAGCCCTAGAAGTTTCAGTTACTCCATACAAAAGAAACACAGACAGCGCAAGATGTCCACATCCACACCCACCCCAGTCACGCTCTCCTTCGAGGCAATCGACGACCTCATCTACGACGCCCGCGCAGGCGATCTGGAAGCCCTCAAGGCAGACCTCGCCGCCCAAAGCAAAGAGCACAACTGCCCCGAGGCCTGGATCATCGCCTCCGCCGTCGACGCGGAGCCCGAGGCCGAGGGCGGCACGGGCTCCTGCCTGCTTCATTTCCCTGCGGCGAACGGCAACGCTGGTATGTTTGAATCAACCCAACCCGACTCGACTTGACCCTGGATTGTGTAGATCAGGCTAACAAATACAGAAATTCTCAACTATCTTCTGGCGACTCTAACCGCGCAGTCTGCGGCGCCGCTGTCGGCGGAGCAGATCGCGGCTGTGGTTAACCATCGCAATCACTCGGGGAATACGCCCCTGCACTGGGCTGCGCTGAACACGCACCTTGACTGTGTCAAGGCGCTTGTTGAGGCGGGTGCGGATATCGCTGTTAAGAATGATGCGGGGCTGGATGCTATTTTCCTGGCGGAGAGGACTGCCTGGTCGACCGAGGAGGAGGGCAAGGAGGCTGAGGGTGCCGGGCAGGCGTCTGCTGAGGAGGAAGGTGCTGGAGAGATGTTCAAGGGCCGGCAGGTTGTGGAGTGGTTGCTGAGCTCTGATAAGGCAGGTGACTTGGAGGGAGGTCTCAGTGTTAGTGCTGGTGTTGGTGCCGAGGGGTCGGCGTCGGCGTCGGGGTCTGGTTCTGGGGAGACGATGGATGTGGATGAGAAGAAATGATTACGACTATCCTGCCTTGTTTGTGTGCTTCCGGAGTAAATATTTCCTTTGTTACGAATACCATTAGACAAAAGTTCTGGGTTGACAGCTTAACGATGATAGGTTCATTCGATGTATCTAGATCTAATCCATATGTTCAGCGTTGCTCTGTCTATCTATATTGATATGTAAACATGAAATGTACTGTTAGTCGCGTCGAGCCTTGGCTCGAACATGTTGAGAACTGCCTTCGCGACTGGAGGCAGATATGCGCGAGGCTGGACTGGAGTAGGAACCTTCCATCTGGACGCCCTTCCCATCCCTGATTTCCCGGACCTTCATATCGAGATGAACCCGGAATCGTCGGTCACGCCATTGAACAGTGACGCCCCCGTAGAACGCCCAAATCCAGATGGGCAACGCGAGCATCTCTCGCCCCAACCATGCCGCAAACCAGTGGAGGAACGGCCGCCTCGTTCTGCCGCGCGCGGGAGGCTGTGCAAAGTAGGGAGTGTCGTCGTTCAGCTCGACAGTCTTCGCAGAATGTAATTTGATGTACAATGTCCAGTCGACCAATATCCAGGCAGCGATGCTCAGGAAGAAAAATGTGAAGAACGCCGTCCACGAGGTCATCTGGCCTGCGAATCCCCACCCTTTGTGCTGCAGGAATTGAGCAAGAGACGTGGTGACACCCCATGCCCCGTACAGAGAACATAGGATTGATTCCGTGCCTGGCTCAACAAGTGTCGCAAGAAGGACGGTGAACTTGCGCACGCGCAGCCACCGAACTCGCCGTGCCATATAGCCCCGGACACTCATGCTCGCCACAGGCTGGATGGCAAGGTCGCCAAAGACCATGCCATGTTTGCCCCAGCTTTCGCCCAATTCCTTCTCTTCCCGAACCTGCTTTTTCCAAAGCAGATCGCCAATCAGGTGATCCTCGCAGATATTGTCAGAGAAATAATCAATACCGGGACGGCGTGGCTGCGGGTCCGTCGGGGGAGTTTGGGTCAAATAGTCCAGATGAGACCGGCGAAACATGTTGGATTTCCCAACAATGCACGGGGCAATGAGAACCGTGTTGATGGCAGTATACATCTTCGCATGCGAGGATGCCAGAAACAACTCCTCTAATCGACCGCCTCCAGTCGCAAGCCAGCCAACTTCTCGGTGCTGTTGCTCAATCATGGCAAAAGCGTCGCGCCTCTCGGAAGCAGAATCGCCTTGGGCGCATGCTTGAAGAAGGGCCTGCCGCTCCTCTCTCAAACCACTCGTCCCCGTCACATCCACCGCAATCGGCAAGTGGTGTACGAACTTGTACTTCCTGCCCGGTGTGTCCCCAAGCCCACATAGTCTGTCCACCATCCGCCCACAAACCCCTCGTCCTAACCACACGTTGCAGTCCAGGATCCATACAATATCACCCTTGGCCTCTCGGTAGGCACGGCTCATGTTGCGAATCTTGGGATTGGGCCCCAGATTGTAGTTGGCTGCATTGTTAGGCTGGAGTAACGGATCCTCTTCTTCGATGTAGATGTGCGCGTCGGCGTGCGGAAAATCTGACAGAAGTTTCTGCAGGGTCGGGTAAGCGGGGTCGGTTCGGGACGAGACGCAGAAGTAGACGGTCAGTTTGTCACGGGGATAGTCTTGATAGAAAGTCGCAGCCAGGCAGTCGTAGAGATATGGCTCAAGGCCTTTGACGGGCCGAATCGCGGTGACGTGAGGGGCGTTGGAGGACGAGGCTGCATGGGATTTCCGAGGTCTGCGCGAGAAGTGCATCCATCTGTCCACGTACGACACATTAGTTCAAGTCGCAGGAGGCAATTGATAAACAAATACATTTGAAAGTATCCCAGAAGACAGACGGCGAACACCGTCGTATACCAGATCAAGCACACCCAACCCACTGCAGTCGACCACGCGAGTTCGCCATGTCTGACGGCCGATCCGACATTCAAGCGACTCAATTGCGATTGAAGCTCTAGCATGGGCGAAGACGACGACAGAGAAACGACTGAGAGAGGACGCAGACGTTCAGAGAGGACATTCTACTGGAGACGGGCGGTGGAGAAATTCGACAGAAGCGAAAGTGGTCGCCGGAAGCACTAGGATATCATCGATCCTTCTCATCGACTGATTGCCAACAGTACCGCCAAGCTATAGAATTATATTGTCATGGCCCCATGGGAGAGACATGCTTGCATAGGCCTGTCACTAATTTGAACTAATTGGGTTGGTATTCCACTCGGATGCAACGGTTCATCTTGTGGACTATGGCACGATGGGAAAGGAGACGCGCCAGCTCACAGCCTCAATTCAGGCAGCGCAATAATCACATTGTGTTAGAACAATGACAAGCAGCTAAGATCTTGTTACCGAGTCTCATACACTAGCTCACTGATTATTTCACAGGTCTATTCAGAAAATAAAGGCGGATTTGTTTCCATTATTTGATCTTTGATCGTTTGCGATAGCACCGTAGACTCAAAATCAATACAAATGGAGATTCAATATCTTAAAAATAAGCCAATCCCTCAATGCCAAGTATGAATTCCGTAGGCTGCTTTAATGACACCAAATCAACCAGTACCCTGCCGAACTATGTAGCTGTCGCCCCAGCTCGAGAAATAAAAAAGATACACCGAACTCCGAGATCGCCATTCCATGCAGAGCGCAGTGATGCGGACTCATGTCTTCTTCTTCTTTCGAACCAGGTTGGCATTGAGCACATTCACGCTGGGTGCCTGATCCGACTGGACGGGAGTTCGGTTGACCTCTTCAGAATCCCCTGGAGTACCTCCTACCTGCCCTGGCTTGTCGCTTTCCGCATCGGCCGTTTTGCGCTTTCGAACAAAGGCTGCGTTGATGACAGTCGTAGCGTCTATAGGTTTCTGACCCAACTCCGTCGTAGCATTTCTCCCCTCGACCCGTTGACCAACCCAAAGCTGATCAGCGAGCGAGGCGACTTTCTCGGCCCATGCCTTGGTGCTGGCGATAGCCTTATCCTTGGTGTCAAAGTCTTGATCGATAAGAAAGTTGATTGCCGCCTTATAGTCTTCCTCACTCAGGACTGCATGTCCTCGGCCTGTGTCTGGCCAAAAGAACGCACTGGGGCCCGTAGCTTGCTGTACTTTGGCATGTGTATCGGAAGACGAGGCGCTGGGTTGGGTGATTGATGATGTCTGGAGATCACTTGTGGGAGGTTGCGATGGAGCAGACGCAGACGCTACTTCATCTTTTTGTTTGGTCGCATCGTGGGTTGTCTCTGCAGATTCAGAAAGAGTCTTCTCAACACCCCGCGAAGCAACACGAGAGCTCGTCATCTGAACTGAATTGACAAGACCTGGCGGATTAATGACAAGCCACAAGAACCCAACTAATCGGCCGGCCGAGCATTCCTGTCGAAAGGACATCATCTCCCAAAACTGCGCAAGAGACTTCACGCTTCGCCAATGACCGGAATTCTCCTTGGAGCCTTCAGCTCCCGTCGACTCTGGTAGTTCATCATCCAAGTCGATCAGAAAGCGCGTCTTGGGGTCATCTGGGAAGCGAGGAACGAGACACCGTGGCGGAGCGTTGGGATTATCACAGAGCTGATGGAGAGGGTAGCTATTTAACCATCTCGGCCGATCCTTGTCATCAGACCTCGCTGTGATTGGGAAGAAGCCCCGAGTCTCGAACTTGTCGCATCTTGGAACGATCAGAAACGCTGTTGCTGAACTCTTCGCCGACTCCTTAGTTTGATCAAGCAGTGCCTTTTCATGAGAGCCCGTCTCGGGCTCATATTCTCGTAGGATGGGGTCAATGACACGACACCACCATTTGATCAACCCGCGATCATCTAAGACATGCTTTTCGGGGTTCTCGATGCTTCCGGGAAACAAGTACTGATTCTGGGCCCGGGCAAACAACGACACCATCAACCGGACTCCTGGCCGTTGGCGGGTCTGCACAAGAAATGACAGAAACGCATTTGAGATAAGTCGGAGAAGTGAGACCTTGGGCGCATTCTTCAGCAGATGCAAGTAGCCAGTTGAATCGGCCTTGGAGACGAAAATGGTCGTCAGATGCGCGGTGCCGTAGACCAGCACTTCGATGCCAAAGACGATCACTTCCGACTCCTCTTTTTCATTGGGACTAATGGAGACTGCAAGGAAATGGTTCTCACAGAAAGTCGACTCGGGTTCTTCGCCTGGTGGAGCTGCGAAGAGGGCCGCACACGGGCTTGGGGCCGACGAGATATGGCGGATCGTCACCTTTACCCCAGTGGGGAGCACCTTGGCCAAGGAATCCCCCAGGTCGACATCAACTTTCGACATTTGAGCCGTCAGAAGCCCTTATTAGGTTGAGGTATTTCAAGAGAAGAGAGAGCCGAGTGTGCTCAATCCCAGCGTCAGACGCGTTCCAATACACGGGCGTGTCACGTGTCATTTTTCTCTTGGACCCCTGGCTGGTAAAGGAAGCATGAATTCTACAAAAGAGATGTCTCTTACTCGGATTGTTTACAAGTTTATTATTATGGCCTTATATGATTAATTCAAATTAGTGTGCCCATTGGAAAGCTCACTTTATTCATGACATAAGATTGCTCGGTGAGCAAAATGCAATTAACCCAAATGCAGGCAAACATGGTGGAGTTATTTACACTTGACAGCAAAGCTTATCATAATGTTCAGAAATAACTGGCCGCAGCGTCGAGGTCATCAGCGTTCAGGAGTGCAACACCCTCCTTAAGAAGGGTTCTCCAGACCGAATTACGGGTCCTGATGGGATAGCTGGGCGTCTCCCAATATCTGGCTCCAATGCCCCTTTCCTTTGCGGTCGCGATTTGCGAGCGGAGAGTGCTGAGCTGCTTCTCTGTCAATATCGCTTCAGAATCACCCTGCGAAACTGTGCCAATGGCATCCGCAAAGCTCGTAGACGCGATGGGAGAGATCAGCTTTGTGATGCCGGCATTCTCAGACTCGCTCAAGGACTCGAGGTGAGCATCAAAGAAGTAGTCCCGATTTGCGACAGGGGCAACCATGTCGTAGGGCGTGTTGCCTGTGCCGATCACGGTAATGGGGCCGTTGGTGATGGTCTTGTTATCCTTCAGAGTTGTCAAATAACCATGTTCACGGAGTGGTTCCAACGCGTCAATCACAGCCTTGAAGGTCTCATGTCCAGCGGTCTTTACATCAATGAATAAGTAAAGCGTTTGGGAGACCGAAGTGTCGAACACGCCACTGACCAAGACCATTAGTTCTGTGTAATCCAGATGCAACCAAGCTAACTCACTTGTTGGTGGGCGACGTCACAAAACGCGATCGAGGATTCTGGCGCTTGAGAACATCGAGAATTGGATTAATGTACAATGATTCCAGGGTTCTCTCTTCTGTCAGAGAAGAGGTGTCATGGCCGACCTGCTCGATGTTAGAAGAATCATTCCATCTCTTCATGACTATCTACTCACATAGAGTGTACCGTTGTACAGCCAGACATCTGCTTCCGTTGAGATGCATCCTGTTGAAAGAGCTTGAAAGGGGTCAGTCAAAAGCCATGCATACAATGCGAGGTGATCAAAATGCTGCCTTACCAGTGTAGAAAGGCACATCTCTCCAATAATCACTGCCCACAGAATTAGAGCCATTCTTAAAGATTGATGAAATCCCGTCTTGACTTACTTGTGAGAATGGACTGGAATCTTATGTCAAAGCAAATCGCACTCGATTAGCTCAATTTATCCTCCAACGACTGCATTGACACAACGATTGAGAACTCACAGGTACAATTCCCCTGGTAAAGTCGGTAGGATATCCGTACTCCTGACTTCTATGGGTATTGTCGAGGACGTTCTGAAGGCCTGTCGGAAGCCCCAGTACCATACCCGACAATGCGAGGATAACGGCGGATGCCGTGAAAAGTAGCGAGTGTGGCAGCAAAGTCATTTTTCTTTGCGAGCAACAGGCAAGTATACTTTGTTGAATGAAAGTTCTAAGAACAGGAACAATCTCTACGAGACTAGAACGCGATTATATTTCAGAATGGGATGTGATGATCGCCCCAACGCCAAGTATTGATGCCGAGACGAGACAGGACTTCGAGCCAATCCCTGTCTCACGTGGAGTACAACCTCTCAGCAGCCATGTTCATCAGCCAACACAGGTAAGATGAGGAAGCACAGGGGTTTTATCCCAAATAAAATGTAAGACAAAGTTCCCTATCTGGACTTGAGTTCTCGTTCACGCCATCAGATGAGACCGGTTGATTGGCTAACCGTCGTATAACATATATGGATTAACCACAGTTGATAACCATAAAGCAACCAAAATGACGGGCAATCTACAAGTCCAGAGCACAAGATGATCCTAATGGGAAGCTTTGGAAGCCTATGCATCTGAAAATAACATCACAAATCCCAAACACTGCCAGCCGGTTGGGAGAAGAAAATACAAAAGGGACCAAATGCTCTATACTTCTCGGACAGATGGTGGTCTTGAGCCGCTCTGCGAGTCTTGTGTACTACTGCGCCTGAGACTCAAATTCCCGATGCGCTGCACCAAGTTGCTTCCAACCGCGTCGACTGCGCCTTTGGGAGCAAGTAAACTTGGACCTTGCGCGGCCGCCTCCTGAACCCTGAAGAGTTTGATTCCTGTTCCGTTCCAGACGCCGACAGTGCCGGGCGTAGCTCCAGATGCTGTGCCAACCACCATCTCACTAGAGAAGATGAAGCCCCACAGCAAAGTCTCATACCAGCCCAAAGACAGGGCTGACCATTCAAAAGAATGCACCCGTACAGGTGGCGGCTCTGATAACAGCCCTTGAATTGTAGGCTCTTCTGCAAAGGAAGGAAGATTCGCAATCAAAGTGCGAGCTTCGGGGCTTGACGCGGTCTGGAAAGCCGAATCGGGAATGTGGGGAGCAATGGCTGAAATGATAGTGAGAATAGTGTGAAGAGGAAGCTCTGGTAGCCACGACTCCAGCTAAACGTGGGATTGTCAGAACAATTAGACTTTGAACTACACGCACACAATCGAGTGACACTTACCCAAGCAACAGTCGGCGTAAAACCGCTGGACGCGGAGAAAATGGCGGACATGCTACTTTGACTGGTGATGCTGTTCTGCCGGGAGAATGATGGCTGCCCAGCAGGCATCTTGCCTCTGGCCTTCTCAGACATCCCCCGTAATTGTAGTGGGACACTGTCATCGATAGCCGATGACGTCGAAGGCCTTCTTGAGTTTTGCAGGGAGGGTGAAGACTGCGACGGCGTGTCTTGCCCGTCATGTTGGTCATCCGATTCGTCACCGCCAATAGCGAAAGGGCTATTCTCTTCAGGAATACGAGTCAAGGGCGAACGTGCACCCGACGACACATGAGGATCCTCTTCAGCCTGCGACAGGGGAGGGCTAGAGGACGAGTCGCGAGATGCAGCTTTAGCTTTTCTCCTTTCATTTTGGCGTTCAATCTCTTGCTGCCCACTTTCGAGAGTGAAGGCTCGGACGGCTTCGAAACGTTTCCTGTACTTTAAAATGGCATATACTAGGAACGGGTTTTCTGCGACAGTCAGTCAGCGAGCCAAGCCGCGACGAAAGTGAAGGCATAGCGACACTTACTGGTGAATTGGTGTTCAAGTATCGAGTTTATGGATTCAAGCACTGACGCTAGGAGGGCATGGTTCGTTTCGTTAGCTAGGAGGAAACTGGGAGCGGACATCGAGGAGAAGAGCTGCAGAAGTCTGGAGCATGTGGCTGGTGAAAGATGTTCCAAGTAAGGAGCCACGTTGTTGATGATTGCTAAAAGTGCTGGATAGACAGCATTCAGCTTGCCTTTGCTTGCGGTAAGCAGAGTATGGATGGACTACAACACGTTTAGTACGGTTTCGCATGATGAATTCGGCGAGAGACAGACCATAACCAGGTAATCACCATAGGTACCCTTGAAGCCCGGAAAACGAATGTTCTGAGGTAACGTCTCCTGAGCCTCGAATTTCATGTTGAGACTTTTTCCAAAATTCGGCTCGACACTCATTGTTTGTAAAATAAAGATGCACATTCTCACGACGCCTTGCTTGGATGCGTCAGATTTGTACTCGATAGCGTAAAAGATACAGAGAATGGCAAAGTCATGGGAGCGACTTGAGTCAATGATAAATGACCTGAATCGCTTGTTGCACTGGAGGGCCTCCCAGAACAAGATGAGCATTTCCGGAGCCCATTTGATAGATTTCTGGCTGCCTGGAAGGTAAGAGTTCGTGACTTGCATCTGCCACTTCATCAGATCTAAGCACGGCCGATTGGGGAATGCAGACCCACAGGTTGGTTCAAGATTCTGGTCATGCCATCGACAAGGAATTGAAAGTCTTGCGGTCGGTGCAGCCGACCGAAGTAATGGCGATAATAGTTCTTCGGCGGTGTCCCACGACCATCCTCGGGGATAGGATATAGGAGGAGAACAAGAAGAAATTGTAGACAGTATATAACCAAGATCTGCTTGGAATCTTTCCAGACCACATGGTCATATGGAACCCTCCATGACGCAGGATTGTACTTGATAGACTGCATGAGACCGCGGTTAATATGAGACAATAATCAGAACCATACATCACTGTACATACAGTATTTAGCAATGAGCATAGCAATGTGAGGACAACTTGCTTGTCAGGGCAGGTCGTAATGTAGGTAATGGCCTTAACACCCTGAACAGGCAGAAGACCTGCAGAGTCGTCAGCGTTGCGTCCCATATAAAAGAGAAAGAACCTTACTCAGCGGCATGTACATCGCCTTTCCAGTCAATGTAAGCAATAGTCGCAAAATCTCACACCGGTTGCTTTCGAGCTCTTTGCTGGAGCCCATGGACGTATTGCAGCCAACACCGCTTTGCCATATCGAGTACGATACCTTACCCTTAGCCGTTGGGAGGTTTGGGATCGTAAAATCTGTATAGAATAAAAGATCCAGCAGGTTGTCAATCAATTCCTCGGCCAAGGGCTTCACATCTTCGAAGTCACTAGCCGGGGGCAACGTCTCCTCCTGGCGCCCTTCAGCCTGCGCTTCATCAAACAGGACTTCTGCTTCCAGTCGAGCTTCTCTAGTATTCTTCTTGCGTCGACCCCAAAAGAATTTCTCCTCCCATTCTTCTAGGTGCTCCGCCTCGTAGATGAAGGGAAGGATGCGCGTGAGTATGCGGATACAGTTGAGAGCGTCTCTCTCAGGAGCGAGGTCGGAATCTGGAAAAGACGGATGATTCTTCAGAAAGGTAAGACGAGAGGTTATTGAAAGCAATAGTGTCTCCAAATTAGGTAATGCATGATCGCGGGTCCGTCGTATGTCTGCGGGGGTGAATAAGCTGAATACATCCTCTGTCGACTCCGGGAGCTCCCAGAACTACACCGAAGCAGTTAGCGAGTCGATGGTGACGAGAAACCAGATATTATGACAAGAGGACGAACTCTGCACCAGTAAGGATCGCCAGCAGGGATGTTCTTCTCCTCTGACAGACGGAAGATTCCTTGCTTGAAGACCAACTTCGACTCCGAGGCTCCCATAGTGAAGCGACCCCGGCGCAGGTTGATGGGTTTATAACTTCATAGGGTGTTCAGGGGAAAGGAAGAAGAATCAATACAGAATTCAAGCGCTCTCACGGAGGTTCTTCTTATATATATCGCTAAATGGAAGTGCCAAGTGTGGGCAAGCTGATTGTATGTTGGTGTTGTGGTTCGCCGGGTCCGTCTCAGCGGGAAGTTACCTCTTAGACCAACGGAGCTCGGCCATGATGCGAGTTTGAACAAAGAGCCACAATTAAGAGTTTAAATCAATCTGCCAACCACGCTACCGGAGTTTATTATATGTTTTGTTGAAGGAACAGAGCAATTTCAAGTACTGTTAACCTCTACGTATGTTGTGAAATTAACGCTCAATCTAATAAGCTCAATGTACACGATCCCTTCCATTAGTGATTGCGCCGACGCCGATCAGCCCGAATTACAGACTCCCGTTACTAGCAGACAGTCGCCTACTTCTTTCATACAACCATTTGTTGCTCAATCCCAGGTTCGCGCGCTTGCCCCCTACAGGCGAAGGACTCGCGGGCCCTATGCTAGACTCCCCGAAAAGCGAGCTGCGACTGAATGTCGAAGAAGACCCGAAGCTTGGCCGTCGCCCGCTCTCCTTGCCTCCATTCGAAACGGCCTTGTACAGTAGCGGACTTGTGGATGGCGAAAATGATGCGCCCGACGACAGTCTACGCCCTGAAAGACCGGCACTTCCGGATAGGGGCGACGATGCACCTTTGCTCGCTGGAGTCGCTGTTCTCGAGGCAGACAGTCGATACCTCGGTGGTGTAATGTACGTAGTCCCCGGTGTAAGCGGTGGAGTCGTGGACGGATCAAGCCCGAGGAGGGAACGTTGTGTAGGAGTGAGAGGGATATCGGAGAGATCATCTTTCGGTCGAAACAAAGGGTATAATGCAACCAGGATGTTCAACGCAAGAATGAGCTGCACGACGTGCAGCGCGAGGTCTGGATAAGCGGGGTACTGGCCCAAATTCTGCAGGCGAAGCGAACTGTGGAATCTTTGTCAGAAACATCGAATTGCAATTATGCTCGAACCAACATGGCTATCGCTCACTATGATTTGACGGTGTTTCCGA